CACACACACACACCTCCTCCTCTGGTCTCAAAACATGACTTTTTTTCTTTCCCCCCCTCTGTCCTCTGCCTTGGCCAGAATTTCTTGGCAGTGGTCTTGAGTAAACAGTGTATTTTTAGCTAGGAGGTCATTTAGGCCCAATCTTAATCACCACATTCCCATTTTCCCACCAGCCTAGTTTCAGGCAGCGCTATGGGGGAGGCGATAGGGACTGAAAGTGAAAGAGATACACCTGTACCCAAAGTAGAGGAATCGCTTTATTTTAATGAAATACTAAAAGTCTTGTAGTTGTATTTATCCAATGTACTTGTCAGTGTCTTTTAAAAATATTTTATAGTTATCTCTAAATCTAATGGAGATTATTTTATTGGAGACGAACGCTAACACAAGTATTGTGTAAAAAATGTCTTTTTTTTTTTTGCGTTTGTCTGAGTCAAATATATAAATTTACATGACAATTTTCATATATCTAATTAATGGTTCATTTTTGCAACCGTTGGTGTTTTAGTAGATGAAAGAACCCACTTTGTATGCTAGAACATTGCGGTCATTGAATCCGGAGAGCAACGACAGCCCCTTATTTTTTTTTACTTTAATTAATGTATCCAAATTGTGATTAGACCCTGGACTGAAATCAATTACTCATCCCTGTAGCAGTAACCACTAAGCTGAGGGTCACAAATTAATCAACCTAATGGGCTGCTCATATCATTAGATTTAAACGTGTCACTATTGTTGGCATCAGAAAAATGTGCTAGTTAAATGCTCATTATGTGTGATGACCTATTTGGAATGTGTAGTAACAGCCTATATACGTTGTTAATTTGATCCAATCCATGACCTTCAGACATAACGTCATTTACAAGGTTTGACCAAAATCTTGTTCAGCTCTTAAAGGAGACCTATTATGGGGGTCCTAGAACAASTTAGGATCCATCTGTGGGCTCTACAAAACATGTTCTTTTGATTTAATTCGCAAAATTAATCGCAGATATTGAAATTTCACCATGTCCGTCGGTTGCAGACATGAGCGTCTGCTGCGAAGCAGGAGGAAAGGAGAGCGGAAAAAGTTCAAAACTTATTTCTAGTGGCAGAAGAGGTTGGAAGATGGCTGTTTAATGTACGCTTTAATATTACTAAAACATTGCCATCCAAAAATAAAAACAAAATTAAATAAAAATAAAATTAATCTACACATTTATATCCTCCATGACTGTGAAGCAGCAGAACCGTCCTGTGAAGAAGTGGGCGGAGTCTCTGCTTGGGTTACGAGGAAATGAGCTGGGCTGAGTCCGGCCTGTGACATCACAGGCTGCGGGATTTGAGAACTTGACATTAATATACATGAAAAATGCATTTACTTAGAGTAAATATACCCTTGGGTGCATTTTTTTTGGTCCTAGGACTGTTTTTTTTTCATGAAGTACATACCCAAAGTTGAGTAAAAAAAACTTTAAAAAGTGAATTTTGCATATTAGGTCACCTTTAACATTCAGACAGATGGGTCTCACCAGCTTCAGCTGATTAGAATATACACAAAGCAGAAGTGATTGGTCTTTTGTGACACCTCTACTTTCTTGCGTAAATGTGATTGGGACAACTTTCAAACTTGCCTTACTTTAACACAAGGAATTTGGTAACAACATTCAATTTCCAGTAAATTTTTTTTTTTCCGACTAAACCTGATGTCCAAATTTAATTGTACACARCTGTGTAGTTCTTTAGGATGTAGTTGTGTTTTTTATTGTGTCATTTTTGGTAAAATTCTAACTTATTTTATGGGTTTAAATAAAATAAATGAGTCATTTTGGTTTACCAGTGCCATTAAGTTGGCGGGGCAGCCAACGGTTTATTTGCTGCTTTATTGTCTGATTCAATCTTTGGGATCTGGCTTGCCAGAATTTTCCTTTTTCTTTTTTTTTTAAAATGGTGTCTGTTTTGGTCGTTGCAGCATTTCCAGCTGCAGCATAAGAATGAACACGTTGGTGTTTCTAAAAGTAAAACCGCACTTCGTGTTGATCTCAAACCACAGAGCAGCATAAATCTCATAATTTTTAACACATTTCAAGTTTCAACAGATGTGCAGTGAGACATTAAAATCGTGCCTCTCTCTCTCTCTCTCTCTCTCTCTCGCTCTCCCACTCTCTCTCACTTGGAGTATATTTATACCTGGAGGGGAGGGTTAACGGAAGAAAGAGGTGCTGTCTGTAGATGAGCACCAACTCTTGTGTTTTTGTGCTGTCTAATCCCCATATCAAATTGTTTCCTGCACTCCACAGGAAGTTGCCCACTAAAGGCCCCATCACCACAGCCTCTGCTGGGGTTTCTGGGAATGTGGGGGTGGTAGCACTGGATGAGGGGTGGGGGTGGTCGGGGTTAGGCTGAGGGGTTGTGAGACTGTTGGACAGCTGTGGAGATGCAAAGCTACCACATCAATTCTGCTCAAACATTTGCCTCAAGCTGTAATACATGCTCCGTTTTTTTATTATTCACTTGGATACATCATAGATTACTCCTGAGAAAATAAACTCCCGACAAACACCAACATGTGGAAACTTTTAATAACTCATTAAATACAAAAACTCTARGAAGAAGTCATACTTTAAAGTGCTTATTGCTATGTTTTTGATTAACACAGTCATTTTAAAATTCATTTCCCAATCTGTTTATTTAAAACAGAATTGTGCTTGTTAATGCACATGTCTGTTATTGTTAAGCTGTGTCTTTATCAGCATTTTTTGTACTGATATAATCACAGACAGTATCACAAATGCCTCCTATCAGATCAGACACCTTGGTAACAAGGTTTGGCTGTAACAGGAAGCAGTTGGCTGATTTACAGGAGTAGCACTCTTGTGGTCTTTTAGTGGTCTCAAAATGAGATATTCAAAATTAGACTACGTTTTGAACACAATGGTTAAGCTAARTCTACAAAGACCATGTTTACTTTAAAGGTCAAGCATTCTGTGTTTCAAAGGTTGAAACTGGTGTTTTTGTTTTCCTCTGGAGGTCATGCTTTCATTACTTTCCATGGCTGGCTCAAAAGAAACAGATTAGACCTTGAAAGGATTTAAAAATGGAGACAGGCCTACATGGGGCTGAACATTTGGTAAGTTGGAAGGCCAGGTCTGTTGCAAAATCTAATATTTTCTTAGAAAGTCCGCAAATATGAGCCAAGTTTTGTTTTGATGATATTCCAAGATAGACAACCCTGTGTACAATTCTCTGAATTACCTGTTAAAAGTCATTATTTTTATGGTCAAATCCTGGTTTTGATTTGCACAAACCAGCTAGAAGCTTAGACTTGGGCTTTTAATCATACACTGTCCCTAAAACATGAATGTAACAATCTTTAAAGCCTTGAATTTGATATTTGGTTTTTGGATTCACYTTTTTGGACTTGGCATTCACATGTAAGTGATGGACTAACCCGAGAACCTGTCTCAGAGCAGCCTGGGTGGTAATAAGATATAAATTTAAGCTTCAGTAAAATAGAAACATGGGAGCTGTATAAAAAAAAGGGTTTTTCCCCATTTTTGGTCCCGAAAACCAAAATTGTTGTATAAAGTTGTAAACATGTTTATTTCTGCTTTGAAAGTATCTGTTGGCTTCGAGGAGGTTTGACTTGCTGCAGATTTTACTTTAAGGAGTCACTTGAGAAACGTTTAGTTTCTGGCAGTCCACTGTTGGCTCAGTTTTTATATCCCCAGAGCCTTTTAATTATTTATTCTTTTAGTTTATTAGTTTGTTAGTGTATTCTAAATTAAGATTTTTTTRAATTGTCTTCATAGGACAAGAAATTCAGCATTAAAAACTCTTTGCCAGATCTGGTCCTCTCATGTTGGTATTTCTGTAGATGCAGTCTACATCCCTTCTGGAGTGTCTGTCTGAGTGTTTCAGTTATGTAGCAGGGGCTATAAACATCCCAAAATAAAAGATGTCCTCACATTTCTGTTTATTTTAATATATTTAAGGGCTTATATACGCAGAAGCAATTCCCTACTGTATCATGCAACCAGACTTAAATATACAGCATGACTCATATTATGACAGTCATGAGTTTTTTTTCTCAGTTCTCCTTTCTGGTGAATGTTGATACCAAATTATACACATGCAGGAAAAAAATTGTACCAGCCGTATTGTTTTGTTGTCTGAAAAGTCAATTCTACAAATGCACGGTATGGGGGTGACCAAAATATATGCACAGAGTGTAGTTCAACCGGCTAAACCTTATTATAGACGTTATCAGCTCTGACTTCACAGGAAGAAAAGAAATAGCTTCTGCAGTGGTGTAAGGTGAGTCAAAGCAGATAAGCTTATACTGAGACTTATTGATTGCCAACTTCCGTGAGGAGGAACCTCCTGGAATTATCAGATCAATACTGACATAAATCAGCTGACAAAAGCACAGGTAACTAGAGGCCAATAACCTTGGGGTGGCAGGGCCTGATGCACTTCCTCAGTAGTAGTCCCAGGATGATGCTAAGAGGAAGGGGAAGAGGAGGAGGAGAGGAAGGAAGGAGGGAGGGAGGGAGTTTGTCTTATATCTCACATTTAGTCCCAGGAAATGGTGAAAATAAACGAGCTATCAAWTAAATAAATGAGGAGAGATAAAGCATCTCAAAAATTTAATAGACTGGAAATGAGCCTTGGCTTGAGATGATATGAATTTGACGTTAGCGTTGCCAGATCGGATGCTGACGAGTCGCTGAAAATTGCCGCTTTACGATCGGACACAAAGGAGAGAAGGAACGAACAGCCCTTCAGCAGATTTGCAGATGTTTTTGATGTTTAAGGTCCCAGCCGTCCAAGACTGTGACCTTTTGAACCTTTTGCTTTCCACTGACCGGCGCTGGCTGCCTGGCTGGCTGGGAGTCAGACAGGCGTCGCCCTGTCACGTTTATTTTCAGTCGCCTTTTCAGCTCGCCAGCCAGAGTGATAAAAGATAGTCGAGCTGTCCGCGGCGGCTCACTGCGTATCACCGTTTGTCAGCAGGCCCTTGCGTGCTGCTAGGGAGGGAAAGAGGGGAAAATGCGAGCGGGAAGATATTTGTGGCACTCCTGCCAGTCCTCCCCGGTGCGACCCCCGTTTTAAAAAGCGTCTGAAAGGCTTGTAGTTGGCAACAAGTCCAACAGTATGTGTCTGAGCCAATTACAGAAGCTGCCCCATGGTGGTGGGGGGTTTTAGAGGAAGGTCTGAGCTGAGAGGGGGAGCGAGGTTATTTACATTTTCTCTCCCACTGTTCTGCGCAGGCACACTGTCTCACAGTCACCTGTCAAGATGAAGAAACTGATCAGTGAGGAGAAGGAGATGGGGTTGCAGGAAGAACCTGAATTTTTGGTGAAAGGTGAGTCTCATTTGCACAGTGAACACAGTGAATACACAACTTTATTCAGACATCAGGTTTTGCTGTAGTATGCATGCACATATATGTTGAGAGAAGTTTAGATAAAAGTGTTTAGTTTACGTTTTTTTGCAGACTTGCGTTTTAGAAATGCATATCAAGAAAACAACCGGAAAAAAAACTCCTACAAACATCACTATTTAATATGGTTCAGGATAACCTTTTTTGTTTCATAGTTTGTATTAAACACTTTTTAAATGTCTGAAAATTGTGGCATACGCTATTTTTCACAAGACCACATTATGTGAATAAATTACCTCGTGACATTAATTAAAAAACCTGAAGTTGCAGGCCTAGTTTCAGTCATTAAATGTGCTGTACCGGTTTATGCTTCTCATGTGATTAAATGTAGTATTTATTTCATCACTCAAACTGTCTCTTGTTGCAGCTCCATGCTTGGCTGTTGCCCTGTAGCTAACCCTTCCCTGACCACATGTGGTGCACAGCTACTGGCATTAGAAGCCTTGTCTTGCATATTTTGGAGGAATGATCTCATGGGTATATTTTTGTGCAAATCTGTTTTCATTCTCTTTTTTTCTTTTTTTGGCCTGCTGAAATGGAGCAGTAAAATGCCATCGCTTGGTTACATTCTGTCCTGTTTGGAGTGGCYACAGTCACATTGCCTAATTCTGACTGCAGTTGCCATGCCTCCCTGGCTGGCCCTACTACTCTTCGACTCCGTTTCTCACAAAGTTTTTCTACAAACCAGAGGAGCTATTTTTCATGCCCCGCTGTTTTTTTTTTTTTTTTTTTTCAAATTGAAGCTTTTGCACCACACCACTATTCTCCACTAGACCACAGTCTTACAGGCACCCCTACTGAAGGACACCTGAGGGTGTTGGATAATCCCTCTCATTTTTCTCTATTTGGTGCACAAGAATGTGTTTGGAAGAAAGCCTCTATTAGGGCKTTTTCGCCTACTTTGTGCTTGTGTGTGTGTMTTTTTTAAGACTTCCTTAGGCTATATGGGGTGAATATTGCCTCAGTGTCTAAAATAGGCCACTGCCTTTGCAAATATAGACTGATGATGTGAGGATAAATTGTAAAAGCCATAGCGTGGTGACAGAAAGAGATGTTGACATTGGTTTATTGACATACCTTTTGTTGATTTACAGTTAAAATTACTTCTCACATGATGCACAGTTTTGCATGCTCCAATAAATTGCAGCTTAGCTGTCTGGATTTTTCTGAGCCTAAAGGGGMTAAAAAGGTTCTGTGAGTCTAATATATAGAAATGTCAAGTTCAGGTTTGATTTAGAAATAAATGATAAAAACACTGATTTGCCCCATTTTTTTGAAAAAAAAAGTGATAAGCATTTTTTTTACATTTATACCATTATCTTGCAAAAATAAGAGTTAATAGCCATTTGACCACATTCGGATTTGTAATAATTGTTGATTTTACTTGATATTTTAAACAATTTTTGCAACATTTGAGATCTCCACCCAGGTCGTAACTTTAATTTGGAGGGGATCACAAAATTTCACAAATGTTTTATAAAAATTCCTGTATAAGTTTTAATGGAATACCAAAAAAAGCTAGTGCAGCTCATCTTTAAAGGGCCAGTATTATGTGTTTCTCAGGCATATATTTAAATACTATACCATAATAAAGTATGTATGTCACCTTTAGCTGTTATTAAAATGCTGTTTTTATGTTTAAATAGAAAATAAACTTATCTTCTCATCACTTCCTCTTCTAAACGCCTTGAAACTGGCCTCTGTCTCTTTAAGAACCACCTTCCGCTTCTGTTTTGCCCATTTCGGTGCGTGGGGGTGGGGGTCTTGCTCGTGGGTTGGGGGGATGGGGCTGCAATGATGCAGTTTACTTGGCATCTGAAAATACATCTCCTCAAAGGTATTTTTAATCTGAAAAGAGTGAGTGAGAACTAATGTTGAGAGCTCAGCAGACAGTTAGCTTTCACTTTCACTTTCACCCGAGAGCCTGCAGGAGTCATGGGCAGGGTGTGTAGGGTGGGGGGGGGTGCGCTCTGCCATGAGTAAGTTCGGCTTAAAGACATGTCCCAGGGGCGTTTCTGGTCCCAAAAAACGTTTTCTGGTCCCCACCTGTCGTTTTGCTCCTCAGCATGGCTTCATAAAAACGCTGCAGGATTTCTCAAACATGCATGAATGAGTCACAGCAAGGCTTTGGGCATGTTTTTTTATGAGAGTATAACATTATAACATGATACAAAACTCAAAAAAGTTGATTTTACATGATATTGCCCCTTTAATTTATTTAATTCATGTATGAACAAATTGTACTTTAAAGTAAAATGTACTTTAATGATTATAGTTTGACTTAACATTGTGCAACAGGATGTTTATGGAAGAGAAACTGCGTATTCGAAGAATAGCAGGAGGATTGCAGTAAAATAAAATACACAGAAAGAGATTGTTTTCTCAGTCCTTGTTTGAGGGGGCAGGGCACTGCGGGGGTCAAAGGTCACAAATGAAACAAATTAAGGGCGAGCCGTGGCCCCCAGGGGAAACATTAGCAGGCTACAGAGATGGGATCCAGATGGAAGATCATGAGTGGGGTGCACAGGGGGTCTTTGGACTTTTCGTCTCTTTCGGACTCTTCTTTGCTGTTTCTTATCGCGCTGCTTAAAGATGTCCAAATGGGCAGCATCTGTGGGACATCCTCTGTCTGTGACAGAGGCGTCGGGGTGGCAGACATGACCTGGTTTCAGTGTTTTCACCCAGACAGCTTGTCTGCCTCAACTAACCCACATCCAGTCTGCTAGCAAGCTCAGCCCTACCTAACTCAGGTCTTTTATAAATCTTTTTCACATCAAGTTTTAATTCTAATCCCATCTGATGTGGTGTACAGTAACTCTTGCGACTTTACTCTGGACTATATTGGATCGTTTATGGCAGGTTAAAGCTGAGAGACCTAGCCTTTACCCCTCTGTTTRTTTTTATTTTGAGCAACAGCAAAGCAGTGAGATCTTTGTACTGCCTGGGAAAACCGCACTGGGGTAAGGTTAAAAAGAAGGGCGAGAGGAYAAATGGGCAGATGAAAGCAAAAAGGAAGAGGGTGAGAGCAGGAAGAAGAAAAGATGCTGGTGAAATGAGCGCTCGGCTCGCAGGTGGCACGCAGCTTGCTAACCACAGAGGAAGTTGTGATGCTGTTGTGGTGTCATTACACTTTTCACAGGGTTGTAAGCTCAAGGTATATTTTTCTAATTGTTCCTTTTAAAACTGCTCTCGAAGCAGGCGTGCACAAGCCATATGGACCCACATGCAGTCAACCTACATTTGTCACACTGCCAGTCTAAAAGAGGACCTGCTCCAGGTGGGCTGCAGCAAATCTCTTCTCACACACACCATCAGCCCCCAGTACAAACTCTGACTCCTACCCTCAAACACACTTTGTTTCTGTTTGTCTACAGCCTATTGATTTAGATATTACTCTGCCAAACTAATTTCTCTGCTCAAAGAATAAACATTTACTGAGTAAAAAAACCTAGCTTTCTTGACAAATAAATAAATAAAAATGAATTAAAAAAGAAAACAAAAGCACTTTGGATTTGAAAATTCAAGACGGCCACCACAGCTAATTCCAAATGGCTTTAATTCAGCTGTTTTAAAAAAAATATTGAGCTGAAATTTTATGTGATTGTGTCTGAGAAAGACCCCCCCCCAAAAAAAATAAAATAAACATGCTGAATGCTAGTCACAAATTATTATTCTGATTGCCAATGCTAATCCCGAATTAAGATAACCGAAAAAAGGCTAATGCTAATTTTACAAAGGGCTATAATTCAGCCACGTTTAAATATACACAACAATCTTTAACAAAATCTAAATACAAATACAAAATCCAAGATCCGAGGTGGCACGCAAGGTGTCCAACCAGGTGTGCCCCCCCTGGCTCCACCCTGTGAGGTGATCATTTTGAAAGTGGTTAAACCCAAAAATGCTAAATATAAACACACACACGTAAAAACACAAGCGTTTACCTTTTGCTTTTAGCTGCAGCTGATTATAATAATAATAATAATAAGAGTTGCATCATTGAGCCCTTAAAGCCACAATGGCTGCTGTTTCTCTCCATCACACTCCAGTAACTCTGCTCCAGTAACTGCCCCCCACCCCAATGTTTTTTTCCCCCTTCTCACTCTGTTAACCTCAAAAGTGGTAATTAACTTTGGCAGCATGCATCACTTAATGCCTATGCTATTAGCTGGCTGTATTTTTATCCTCCCAGCATTTACCCCAACAAGGCAGTCACACAGAAACTTCCACAAACTTTGCGGAGAACTGCACACCTCGAGGAGTTTTCTCAGTAAAGACGTGGCATGGCAGCTTTGGTTAACTCCATGATTTATCCTCCTACTGCACAGAGATTTCAGGAGAGATGCTTTATTTTGTACAAATGGTGTGAACTACTGGATTATTGGATGACCCATCATGCAAAATTCACATTTAAAATGATTTTATGGTACTTATCTATTCAGTTAACAGATTATTGCTGCTGTCCTGCCATGCGTTATTGGATTTTGAAGCGGACTTGTCAGGTGATGCTGCTTTGTCTCTCGTTGAAAGGCTGGCTGCTGCGGGAGGTGCGAGGCAGTTGGATAAAGCACCGTCGGTACTGGTTTGTGCTGAGCCAGGATTCCCTCGACTACTACAGCGGACCAGAGAAAGGCGCTCGCAGACTGGGCACGCTGGTCCTCACCAGCCTCTGCTCGGTCATTTGGCCAGACAAACAGACGTTCAAGGAGACAGGTGAGCAAGACAAACGTATGGACGCATTCTGCTAAAATGTAACAGACACTCTCTTTTTTTTGGACACTTTTCTGGTGATTTTTGTACAAATAAAAATAAAAATGTAGTCGGACCTGCTTTAATCCCCTAGATGTTTAACAATAAAAAATAAAAAAAATCCCCAAATATCTTTCCTGGAATCTCTGGCTGGGAAATGATGTCCTCTGATCCACTTCTCCCTTCCATGTGTGCAACAGTTCTGAGTATGTTTGGGAAATCCCAGTTGTATCCAGAAACATGGCTTACGGTTGGGTTAGATTCCTCTCTTCTGAATAATACTTTATTTTTAGAAAAATGAAACAAAAGTTAAAGATCCAATAGGAAAGAGTTGGCTTATTCTTTTTTTTTTTACTTTTTAAAAGCTGTTTTCCTCAGAACTTTGTCTGCCTGTTCATTAGTGGTGGGAATTATTCACCGTTGACTTGACCAAACTAAAATGCCCAGATGATTCAATGAACACAAACCGAGGTCTTACCAACTCAGTATACATGGGGATTTTTGCAGCAGAAGTTTTTTCAGAAGTAGCTTTGTGACAAGTTTCAGTGGCTGTTTCACTGCTAAATGGATTTATGTTCCCTTACTGAGAAGTATGTCACAAGAGAGCTGCATTAAATCTACTTCCTCTATGTATCTTCTGATTGATACCAACAAATTCTAGTTCCCCAAAAATGGGTTGAAATTATGACATCACTGACTTTCTACAGCTGAGTAATTGAAGGATAACAAATAATAATAATAAAATCTAAAAACAGCAATTACAGCCTATGATTATTTGTAATAAAAACACATTAAACATGAATAAAAAAACCTCAAATGTTTGGATTTGCACTTCACCTAGAACTTCAACAAAGAGTAGTGTGCTGCCAAGTCACGTAGCAGGAAAGTCTGATAACAGCCGTGCTGCTGCAGATCAAGCCGGGCTGCCTGGGGTTTATCTAATACTTCCTCTGTGCAAGAAGGAAGCATGCCTTTCTTTCACTTTTATTGCGAGAGGAGACCATATTCAGAATAACTGCCCTTGTTTGGTTTTGGTGTGGCCCGAGGTTCCGCTCAGTCTTGACCTTTAAACCCAAACGAAACCGAGAGAGGAAGTCGACCTGCGGACTGTCCCATGCAGCTCTCTTACCCATTTTCTTAAAACACCCTGGAAGATGATGCACGTTTTGAAAAGTGACACTTTCTCTTTTCAGGTTACTGGAGCATCACGGTTTATGGACGGAAACACTGCTACAGGCTGTACACCAAGCACTTCAACGAAGCCGTGCACTGGGCCTGTGCCACCCAGAAAATCATCGACACCAAGTCCCCCGTGGAAACACCAACACAGCTATTGATTCGCGACATCGAGGTGGGCCACGCGAAAAGCACACAAACGTACTCGTGTTGCCACCGAACTACCTGCGATAACACAAACTGCACGTTATTTACCCCACCGTGTTAACATGGAAACCACACGASCGCACTAGGCTGCGAGTCCAAAGTTTATTCTCTTTTTGAATGAGCTCATTTGATGTCATCACACAGGGGGACAGAATGTAAAAACAGAGGGCTTGGAAGTTTTAAGAAAAAGATACTTCCGATTATTTAATGCTTAGAAAATGGATCTGAGGAACTTGGAGATTGTTTTTCTTTAAACTTCCCATGTGCAGAAAGCGTGTTTTATAAATAGCTGTGTTTTCAGAACAGGAGAGAGAACACAAAGTGCTGCAATTCCATTGAGCAGACCGAGGASTGAGCTTGCTTCAGTCCACCCCTGGGGTGAAAAGAAGGGGCAGTTTTTGGCAGCAGAGGTGGGAGAGGGTTTGGCAAGGAGCATTCGGACCAGATAAGCAGCCCTTTGCCTCGCCTCCTGTCTCCGTAATCTCTCAACGAGAGGCTCTAATCTCAGAGAAAGTGCTTAATCTACTTGCCTCGGTCTACTGCTGTCTGCTTTGCCAGAAGGGGCCAAGTTTAGACCTTTTTTTAAAAAGAAACAGACAAGTCCTGCTTTTAAAGTGCTCTTCATTCATTTCTTGGAGTTTTCCATCTGAGCACTGCTTAGTCTTTCAAACAATCTCTGTAGATTTATGTCTCCCTTCGTTTTAAACAAAGGCCCGCTCTTTTCATATAAGCAAGGACTGTTTCCTTTCGTATGTGAGAGCAGAACCGCTGCTGTACAAATCAAAGAGAGACTGAACTGATGCATATTATTCTGGACAGGATAGCTGCTTATCTTTATAGCTTCATGCTCCAGATACACTAAGGAAGCTGTCAGTGAAAAAGAATAAAACTGGAGCATATTAAAATTTGACATTCTCTAAATTCTGATAAACAGCGTCAGGAAATGCAACAAAATATGTTAAGGCACAAAACACAAACGGTGGAGCCAAAAGATGTTTGGTTTTAAACAGGCTGATCATGTGTTGTCGTGGCTGTGATGTTTTGTTGGTTTGGTTGTCACGTTACAAAAACTTTGTGGTTACTGGGATATTTTAGGGGTTTGCCTGCAACTGGTGACGATAGATTATTAATCTATTTAACATTAAAGTGTTTTTTTTTAATGCGTCTGTCTTTTTTCCAAGCAAATTTCCAGTAGATTCCTACTCTGGAGGTCAAATTATAACTTATGCTAGCGACGAGCTAATACATACAGTATAAGGCAATATAGCGCCGGCGCTATAGTATTTTACAGTATTTTTACAGTCTTCATTTTACAGTTAAAATAGATGTTTTCAAATAAAGTCTAATGTTACAACTAATCAGGGATCCCTTTAAAGGCGAAGCTGAAAAATGTTAACTTTGCCACACTAAGGATGGGAAAATCTACCCCGTCTTGCAGCGATGGAGAGGGGTTGGTGGGATTGGAGGGGTTGCAGAGTCAGGAGAGAGCCAGAGCAAGCGCAACGTTACTAATGAGTAACAGGTGCTTGAGGGCAGTAGCATGGAAGCCATCTGTAGTGCTAGAAGGCATCAATCCGCACAGGCTGTGAAAGACAGAAACGCACGCACGGTAAACTCACTGACACCCACGGATAAAGTGTAACGTGTCAGCCGTGCAAGTGTGCTTTGCTGGGTCATCACTTGACCTTCCTGTGGCTTTGAAAGTTGCCAGAGCTGGATTGTGACCCTGGTCGAACCGACCTCAGTCAACTGAAACAAACACACACAGCCGCAAACTCAGACTATGCCCTCGGGTTGAGTTCAGAAACACTGAATGAAAACAGAAATCATGTTTCCAACAGTTTACTGCAATAATCATAACAGTTCATTTCCTCGCTTGTGTTCACAGGAGAATAAGTTTAATCCTGAGGTAGTGGAACATATTTACCAGCACAACCCCATCCTCAAGTACACCCAGGGCCCCTTGTATGCTCCTCTGCTGCCTTTCCCTTACGGCAGTCTGGAGCACACATGTAAGTACTTATGATTGGTTTGTAATACGTGATCACAACCTCTGGATGTGAAATTACAGTTAAAGCTTATAATACTGTTAAAGGCCTTGCATTGCTTGAACGATTGCATATCACCCGCTGCCCCTCATGTCAGATGTTTAGACAAAGATCATTTTATAATGAGAAATAAATGTTGTATTTGGTCAAAAAGTATGTGTCGTGATTGTGAAAGACTCTCATCTGTTAGTACATGAAATTGGATCTTTTATTGGCCTGACTCCAAAAATAATTCTTGTAAGTTTTAATACATTTTTTACAGTAGTTCATGAGATATTTTGGTAATAAACACATGTACACACAATCTGGGTCAAAGACCTCATTGTCCACCTTTGTCCCTTGGTAGTGGGCGATAAATATTCTTCTAGGACTTTGTGCCAAATAGTACAGTATCTACTTTCAGATGTTCTGTATGATCTCTGGAAGATGTTAGCTTTTACAAAGGTACAAAGACATTCTGTTCTATAAACAAAACCAAAGTATATCTGTTCTTCTGATCCTTCTGTTTTTTTTCAGATCACAATGGGAAAGGCTACAGCTCGGTGCGCGAMGAGGCCGTGAAGCTCTTTAACTGCCTGCAGCAGCTGGAGTCGGCGCTGGAGCCGGTTCCCATCATTCAGGGTGTGCTGCAGACCTGCCTGGACCTGCGGTCCCTCCGCGACGAGGTCTACTGCCAGCTAGTGAAGCAGACTAGCTACACGCCTTCCCCGTACACGGCGGCGCATCTCCGTTACTGGCAGCTGCTCACCTGTATGAGCTGCTCCTTTCTGCCTGGTCCCAGTGTGCTCAAATACCTGCGATTCCACCTCAAAAGGTGAGATGCCCAGCATAAGTTGTAGAGGTACAGCTCAACTTCAGGACATCTGAACATATTAGCTAGATTTTTTTAAATCCAGGCTGTAAGTTTTTGAAGCAATCTTAGCTCACCAAAAAGTAGGGCTGCAAAATATATCGCAAAACATATCYTCATCGCAATATCAGTGTGCACAATATTCATATCGCAAAGAACTGCTTGGAGTGCAATAATTGTTGAAGAATTGGATTTGAAGAGTTTTAAAGTTGTATTTTTTTATGCTTATGCAATATTTAGGCAGTAGGACAGTCACACAGCAGCTAAAGCTCATACCAGACACAAAGTACATTGCCAAAAATGCTAAAGATCACATWAAGTAAGAAGTACCGTATTTATTCAAGTATAATACGTAAAATTAAATCCATAAAATCATCCATAAAGTTGGGGGGTAGTACTATACTATATTATACTATACTATATAAATATTTTTACTTATGTATTTTAACTGAAATATTGGCTTCATTCACAAAATGTCGGAAATGAGACTGTGTTGTAAAAAGCAGTTGAAACGATCTTACCTCTGACACTCCTCCGTGCCTCAGAGCGAGATAATAACAGATCCAGACAGGCGACAGGATGTGAAAAAAGTAGTCCTGCACCTTAGTAATGATAGTGAACTAATGACATTAGCGTGTGACCGAGCCGCTCCTGGAACAACAACAAGCACATGTTCGCCTGTAATGGCTGCCGTCTACCGCTGTTCTGAAAAAGTTTGTATCCTTGAAAAAAGTTTCCCCACCAGAGGGGGCGCTCGTGAGTAGGAAGTAATCTGCTTTTCCCCCACAAGATGGTCCAAACCTCATGTGAAGTCTCTGACTTTTTTGTTGCGCATCCTGGTGGCCTATGTGTAAAATGCCAGAATTCATATGATGCTGCTACAGCTGATACTGTATATATTTGTTGTCAAAATAATTTTAGTACATATGTTGTTAAAATAAAATGAACAGTCCAATGATCATTTTACTGATATGTATAAAGACTGCAAAGGCTGAAAAATGTTGAAGTCTGTATGAAATTTGAGGTAGTTTGAGGATTAATTTTTATGCTTTTTAAGCTCAAAAAGGATGTGTCGTATTATACATGAGATCGTTTAATACACAAATAAATACGGTACATATTAGAAAGGGAGGAAAGAAAAAGAAAGACATATTGTATCTGATATCATTGCAATATTTACAAACATTATCGCCATCACAAGATATTCTAATATCGTGCAGCTCTACCAAAAAGACTAAATTTTGGTTTGGTAGCAGGTGAGCAATAACCCCAATGCATATTTTGAACGCAACACATTGTGCAACATCTTTGTTATAATCCTTGGCATTTACTGTTGTTGAGGTTGACCCTGTTTGACTGTTAGCAGAATAGTTAATGAGCATGGGTTAATAAATCTTCAAGTTTTCACCAAAATGGTTACAAAAAGGGGGAAAATCTAACAATGCAACTTCTTTTTCCTGCTTTTAACTCATCTGTTTGTGGAAACTTGACTTGTAAAGGACAGGTGGAGAACACGTGTTGACTTTGCTGACATAAAAACTGCAGTTAGCATTAATATCACAAGGTCTTTTATTTACTTTTAAAATTGATTTTACAAGGGTGTGAGTTAAAATGCCATCAGACCTGGAGTCGGCTGTTGGTGGCTAGGAGGAGCCTGCTGTTGAGAACAGGTTTAGCTGGGAGGTGAAGGTGAACCAGTAGTGGTGAGTAAGTAGCAGGGAAAGAGAGGAGTCTAGACGCTGGACAAAAAGCAGGTGCCAGTTTTCCTAACCACTGGTTTAGATATAYTAGCGAGATATGCCTTCACATTGTTAACATGCTCCCCCAGACAGATACAGGGTTTGAGGCCTGGATTTGCAGGTCTGAATTAGCCTCTCTGTCGAGCAGACTAATCTAAGTTGTTAGCAGTGCTGATCTCCTGCTCTAGACTTTCTAACACCATGCCATGAAACCGCTGCAGTTTTCTATCTATATTTCTGCACTGGGAATTGGCCTCTAGCTAATGGAACAGTTGCATGCAATGGTAATTCATAATAACACTGTGGAACTGGCTGGCTCTGTGTTTTGATACGTCTTGCTGTCGCTCTCACGCACTCCCTCTCTCAGCGGATCGGCMCTGAGACTGCAGCTGGGCAGAGCTAGAACCGGAGCCTGGCAGCAGGCCCAAAAGCACTCCTCCTTTCACTCCCCTCCGGTGCCCTAAGAAACCCCCAGGGAATGTCTGCTGTCAGAGAATAGGCCAGGAGAAAGAAAGCAGAGCGAAAGGAGGGAGAGGCGAGAGGGGAGGCAAGAAGGCAGGAAACGGCAGAAAGGGGTGAAGAGAGGAGAGGAGAGGATGGGAAGGATCACAGAGACTCAGTGGAACATTCCTGATTATGTTTCAGCAGGACAAATCCCACCCTGTGGCCATTTGCTTATGAGATAGCAGCACACTAAAGTATACGAGTGATCTTCTCTGTGGCACTTTGTGTCTTTGCTGTTTTTGTGTCTTGAGATCAATTTTTGTGTCGATGCTGAGTCATGGGTTTACACCATTTTCCTTTTATAGTTTTCCTCTGCATGTTTTTTGCAATCAAACTATTTCTGCTTGCATTGTGCTGCTTTAACTGTTTTTAATCCAAATGTTCAGCTCAGTTTGGAACATTGTACTATGACTTTTAGTATGTGTAACTGTATAACTTACATTTTTTATGCTCCCCATGTATATACATTCAGGCCTTTTCAATTGCTGTATTTATTCATGTATAATACGATCTCATGTATAATACGACCCCCCCCCCCTTTTTTTGAGCTTAAAAAGCATAAAAATTAATCCTCAAACTACCTCAAATTTCATACAGACTTCCAGATTTTTCAGCCTTTGCAGTCTTTATACAWATCAGTAAAATGATCATTGGACTGTTCATTTTGTTTTAACAACATTTGTACTAAAAGCTATTTTGACAACAAATATATATCAGCTGTAGCAGCATCATATGAATTCTGGCATTTTACACATAGTTCACCAGGATGCGCAACAAAAAAGTCAGAGACTTCACATGAGATTTGGGCCATCTTGTGGGGGAAAAGCAGATTACTTCCTACTCGCGAGCGCCCTCTCTGGTGGGGAAAAGTTTTTTCAAGGGTACAAACTTTTTCAGAACACCGGTAGACGGCAGCCATTACAGACGAACATGTGTTTGTTGTTGTTCCAGGAGCGGCCCGGTCACACGCTAATGTCATTAGTTCGCTATCATTACTAAGGTGCAGGAATAACCCCCCCCCATTTTTCACATCATGTCGCCTGCCTGGATCTGTTATCTCGCTCTGAAGCACGGAGGAGTGTAAGGGGTAAGCTTGTTTCAACTGATTTTACGACGCGGTCTCATTTCCGGACTCAATAATTTAGTGAATGAAGCCGATATTTCAGTTAAAATACATAAGTAAAAATATTCATCGAGTATATTACTACCCCCCAACTTTATGGATGATTTTTATGGATTTAATTTTACGTATTATACTTGAATAACTTCAAAAACATTGCTCTCTTTGAGATTTACTTCAGCAAAAATTACTCCTTCATATGCTCCGTTAAGCTTTTAGCTGGTTGCAAAGTTTTTAACTTTCAGCTATGATTTTTGCTTCTTTTGGTGTCCATATACAGTTTTGCTAATTTTAGCTTTTAGCTATCGTTCTGCTATTTTTGGCTTTTGATTTTGGTTTTGCTAACTTCCTCTTTTTAACTACTGTTTTGCCAATTATAGTCTGCCAATTCCTGTTTTCAGGTTTTCTTATCAACAAACTTCAACAGTCACCCACACAGCTTTTACATAGAAAATTTTGATAACACATTATAATAACTACACCTTATTTGGCCTTACTTAATCTTTAATAAATGGTTAGTTAACTTTGAAAACGTAATTAAGGATGATTCAGACTTAATAAGCTATAAGTTATTAATTATTTACCCATAAAGGCTAATTACTTTTAAAGCCAGCATGCTCACTGTTTATAAATGCTTAATAACTCATGAATTAACTATTCTATATACTAAAGTTTTTATAAAGTGCTACCAATTTTTCTCTTGTTGTTTACACATACTCTGTCACACTGGATTTTACACCTTTAACTGCCACGATTAGTCAGACTTTTGGCTCCAGTTGGAGTGGGCCGTCTGCTACTGCTTGTTCTCATAAACGGAACACACACACACCCACACACACCTTTCATAACTACTAACAACTCAACTGGGATGATCTTTAAAGTCACTCTGGTTCACAGGAGCCGAAACACCTTTTCCTGTTTCATACAATATCCAGTTGAACATGTTTTTTTTTTGTTTTTTTCAAATTTTCTTTACTTCAGATGGTTCAGGAATATTTTGTCCTTGAAGTCCCTAACAGCTAATGTTTACCATTCCCAACAAAACAAAAATGAAAATAGAACTTAATAAAAATCCACAATCACAGTTTACTTCAGTCACTACAGATTAAACATCACAAGACTGCTCTTCTTTTCCATGTTGAAGTTTTTTTTTGTTTAAATTGCGCACTTATTACTTGCACAGGCACAAACACTTAAACTCTTTTTGTCTCCTGCAGAATTCAGAGCCAGAGTCCTGAATCTGAGATGGATAACTATGCATCATTCATCAGCGAAGCTCTGGAGAAGACAAAATGTCGGGAGTGTGTGCCGTCCTGGGAGGAGATCCAGATGCTGATGAATCGACAGGAGATGCTGTGCACGGTTCACTATCCAGGCCCCGGATCTTGCCAGCTCTACATRAGCTCGCACACCACTGCCAATGAGGTTTGGGAGCATTTATCTGTATTCTCTTTGGAAACTCAACTTTTCTCAGGCTTTTCTCTGTCTCCCACATGCTCTTATTTTAACCTTCATCTCCTAGTCTGGACTGACACTAAAAGGAAAAAAAAATAAATAAATAAAAGCATGACAATTATGAAAATTGAAACTCTCTCTTGTTTTGACTCTTTAAAACTAAAAGCTTTTTTTTCTACTTTCTTCCATCAGGTGGTCCGAAGGATGCAGGAGAAGCTTGGCCTTCGTGACAGTAGAAACACATTTGCACTGTATGAACAGAATGCACTGTGGGAGCAGCCGGTCCCAGGGAGCACTCTGATTGCAGACATCCTGACCAGGTTTTTTAAAAAATTATTTTCTATAAAAGAGCAACAAGACTGCATGTTAGAGGAGTGGTGACCAAGTAGTAACAGAATGTGTATTTATTTAGTTTATACTCACTCTAAAAACACAAAAACAACTACAAATCTGTTAATTTTTTTTACAGAGGAAGGATCTGTGTCATCAGAATGTTGCATGATACGATTAACATTAACTGTTAAATTACTAAACGGTATTAATTGCGAAGATAATATTTGAACTGCCTTTGTTTGTGTCTGCAGCCTCACCACCAAAGAGTCAGAGTCAAAATCCCAGTGGAAACTGTGTTTCAAACTCTACTGCCTGCTGGACGCAGACAGCATATCAGTGGACAGCATCGAGTATCTGTTCCTCTTCGAGCAGGTAATGAAACATTACGCAGATCTTCAGTGGACAGTGTTCTTGTTGTCAAAATGTTACGAATGACCTACAAAGTGTTGATGAGAACCTTTTGTTACTGGAGTTCTTTAGTTTTTACAGAATGAGCCGCGATCACAGTCATTAATCTAACATGCTGTAGATGCAGTAGAATGCACCGAGTACCTGGGTTGTTATAGTTAACTAAAACGAACTAACGAAAACTGAAATAGAAAAACATTTTAGTTAACTAAAATAAATCAAAACTGTAATAAAATGAAAAAAAAAACAATAACTAACTAAAACTGTATAATCTTTTTGCAAAACTAACTAAAACTAACTAAAATTATAGATGGAATATCCTTAGTTTTAGTTTTTGTCAATGTATTTTGAGCCATGTGGGTCTTTTTTTTTAAATTGAGTAGTAGTAGTGGGCAACTTACGGCACCTCATGGTTTGTAACACTTGCTTAAACTCTGCTGTTCAGCATCGTCTGCTAAATGACAACAACAAAAGTTGGGAGAAAGCGGCAAAGTCCACTTTGGGATTTCTTTGAATATGACTGCGAGAAAAATAAAATCAAGTGTCTTGTAGTGGAAACTGTGAAAAATAGGTGGAATAATTCTCAAGGGAAAAACTGCATGAATCAAGCTCGCACAAGATGGCTAACTATGGCTATCTTGACACGCTAGCTTCTCTCAGTTGCTCCCGTGAAAAAGAAGCAACAGTTTGGAGACAACTATTATCCCTGTCCTAAAATAATCACCCAAGTCCCTAGTTGACTAAATTGAGTTACGCAATTATTTTAGGAAGGTGTCACTATAATGTCTGCTTTAACTAGCGACCAAATAGCTGCTGGTTAGCGAACTCACAAGAACATCACAAGCTTGAGGATGCATTAGCAAATATGTTTATTC